AGGATGCCTCAAAGCTTTCTAGGTTCATGGGGCTGGAGGATTAAAAACTGGGGTTCACGGACTGCCAACGGTTGTTCCTTGGCTTTGGTTGGAACCCTGAGGGATTTACACTAACAATAAAAAACGAAAAAGACCCACTCTTGCAGGACTGGAAGCCCAGCTTTGAACCATCTCAGTCTGTGACTGCATTAAAGTCTGTGACTTTGGGAGGCCGAGGCAGGTGGATCACCTGAGGTCAGGAGTTCGAGACTAGCCTGACCAACAAGGTGAAATCCCATCTCTACTGAAAATACAAAAAATCAGCTGGGTGTGGTGGCGGGCACCTGTAGTTCCAGCTACCTGGGAGGCTGAGACAGGAGAATTGCTTGAACCCGGGAGGCGGGGGTTGCAGTGAGCAGAGATCACGCCACTGCACTCCATCCTGGGTGACGGAGCCAGACTGTGCCTCAAAAAAAAAAAAAAAAAAGGTCTGTGACTGCATTCAAGTGCTCCGGGAGGGCAAGTGCTCCCAGTGGTTGCCAGAAGCAAACATGGAAGATAATGACATCCCCATTCTAGTTTCTCGTTTTCTTTGTGTGTGTGGTTTTTGTTTGTTTGTTTGTTTTTGTTTTTGTTTGTTTTGAGACAGAGTTCCATTCTTGTTGCCCAGGCTGGAGTGCCATGGCACAATCTCAGCTCACTGTAAACTCTACCTCCCAGGTTCAAGTGATTCTCCTGCCTCAGCCTCCCGAGTAGCTGGGATTACAGGCACCCACTACCACACCCCGCTAATTTGTTTATATTTTTAGTAGAGACGAGGCTTCTCCATGTTGGTCAGGTTGGTCTCAAACTCCTGACCCCAGGTGATCTGCCTGCCTTGGCCTCCCAAAGTGTTCGGATTACAGGCATGAGCCACTGCATCTGGCCCCCATTCTAGTTTCAAATGCTCTCTAGTTTTTAAATAAAATGTCTAGCACTCAATAAAAAGCAGCCAAGTATATGAGGATATAAGGTAATACGCTTGAAAACCAAGAGAAGCAAGGAAGACTGGTAACAGACCACAGAATCATCAGACACAGGCTCAAAAACAACACTGGGAACCACAGAACTTCCAAGCAAACAGACTCAGTGAGACCATTAGACTTACTTCTGGGTGTAGGTGTTACAGAGATAAGGGTCAAATGGCCATGTTTAAATACATGTAAGAAGAATCAGAAAACAAGGTTGTAACTAAGATGCTCATACTTAAAGATAACTGAAAAAAAATAGCCTAGATTTTAGAAAAACAACTGTTAGCACCCTGCTTATATTCTACCTGAAATATAAGGATACAGAATATGTTGACAGTAAAAGGACAGAAGAAAATATATCATATAAATCCCAACCAAAAGAAAATCGGTATAGCTATGTTAATATGAGACAAAGTAGATTTTTAAGGCAGAAATCCTTACTACAGAAGGAAGAGGAATTTCATAATGGTAACCGAGTCCATTTGATTTGAAGATAAATCAACTCTAAACTTGTATGCACCTAAGAACCTGGCCTCAAAATCTATATGGTAAAAATCAACATTACTAAGAGAAGTAATAGACAAATCTACAGTCAAGGTAGGAGATCTGTAACTAACTTCTCTCAACAAGTGAGAAGACAAAGGCAAAAAAAAATTAAAACCAATAATGATAAAGAATATTTGAATACCACAGTCGACAAACTTTACCTACTTGATATATATGGGTAACAACTGCAGAGCACACAGTGCTATGTGTACAAAACTGGCTGGAAGCCGGGCACGGCGGCTCCAGACTCTCATCCCAACACTTTGGGAGGCCGAGGCGGACAGATCACCTGAGGTCAGGGGATCGAGACCAGCATGGCCTACATGGTGAAACCCCGTCTCTACTAAAAATACAAAAATTATCTGGATGTGGTGGCAGGCACCTATAATTCCAGCTATTCAGGAGGTTGAGGCAGGAGAATCACTTGAACCTGGGAGGTGGAGGCTGCAGTGAGCTGAGATTGCACCATTGCACTCCAGCCTGGTGACAGAATGAAACTCCATCTCGAAAAGAAAAAAAAAAACGACTAGATCTGGGCTGTAAACCACATTTCGAAGCTCTGAAACCACATGGTATAAGTTCTTTGACCTGCAATTATGCTAAAAATACCAAAATGATTTACTAGAAAATGCTACATGAAGCTGAGCGCGGTGGCTCATGCCTGAAATACCAGCACTTTGGGAGATCAAAGCGGGTAGATCACCTGAGGTCAGGAGTTGGAGACCAGCCTGGCCAATATGGTGAAAATCTGTCTCTACTAAAAATACAAAAATTAGCTGGGCGTGGTGGCACACACCTGTAATCCCAGCTACTCGGGAGGCTGAGGTAGGAGAATCACTTGAAACTGGGAGGCAGAGGTTGCAGTGAGCAAAGATCACACTACTGCACTCCAGCCTGAGAGACAGAGCGAGACTCCAACTCAAAAGAAAAAAGAAAATGCTACATGCTTGCTAACCTAGAAATCTACTTCTAAATATCACATCAGTCTAAGATAAATCCATGAGAGAAAATAGGACACAGGTTTTAACCAGTTGTAAAGGTTATGTTACTAAAACTGTATTTTGATTTTTGGTCTCTATTGATAGTTTGGGGGCTTTTTGTTTGGGGGGGGACACAAAAAAAAAACATTAGCCGCACACCTGGCTAATTTTTGTATTTTTAGTAGAAACGAGGTTTCTCCATGATGGCCAGGCTGGTCTTGAACTCCCGACCTCAGGTGATCCACCTGCCTTGGCCTCCCAAAGTAGTGGAATTACATCCAAGAGCCACTGTACCTGGCCTGATAGTTATTTTAAGAAGATAACTTTTCACCTTTTTCCATGTTGTCTTTTTTTTTTTTTTTTTTTTTGAGACAGAGTTTCACTCTTGTCGCCCAGGCTGGAGTGCCGTGGCTCAATCTTGGCTCACTGCAACCTCTGCCTCCCGGGTTCAAGTGATTCTCCTGCTTCAGCCTCCCGAGTAGCTGGGATTACAGGTATGCACCACCACACCCAGCTAATTTTTGTATTTTTAGTAGAGACAGGGTTTCCCCATGTTGGCCAGGCTGGTCTTGAACTCCTGACCTCAGGTGATCCACTCGCCTCGGCCTCCCAAAGTGCTGGAATTACAGGCGTGAGCCGCTGCACCTGGCCTCCATTTTGTTTTCTTTTGTTCTACAGAAGTTAGCTTATTAATTTCCTTTGCCGTTCTCTTGCATTGTTCTTGCTTTAAAAACTCCAAAGTGAGCAGACCAGTGATAAAAGTGGCGTTATGTCTACAAACAAAAGTGATATCCACAGAATGAACCTGTTTCACGGGTGATAACTGCCTCCCTCTCTTAGGCGTGTCCCCAGCTCTCGGTCCGAGAGGCATTCAGCAATTACAAGGTTAACCCACCTGACAAGGTGGGTGGATTCTGGGTGCCCGAGAGCAATTATCCAAATTGCTTGGGCTGTGGGATGACAATGGAGTCTTACTTGTCCCACCACAGTGGCAGGGGAGCAGGGCACATCCTTGGAGGAACACCCAAACCGCTGCTTTACAGACTCACAGGCCCACAGGAGGCCTGCAAGCTGATGGTGGCAAGGAGAAATCCTCCAGAACCTTCGGTAACACGCGGCTGACCGGCCTCTGGGAGCTGCCCTGTGGGCCTTCTAGGTGCCCACTGGGGTCTGTAACATCCTTCCAGCCACCCAGACTTCCACAGGGAGGGCTGGCTGTAGTCCCTGGCAAAACTCCTGATTTTTGGATGAGCTCTCCATGATGTAATTACGCAAACAGCACAGAGTCTGTGGCTTCCAGTGCAGTTCCTACTGAAAGCGCATGTTTTTCCGACAGAGACCCCACTGCCAAATGACAACTTGCAAGCTCCAATTCATCACCTGCATCCAAACAGCCAATTTAATTTGTTCTGACAGTGAACCCACCACATAGAAAATACCATCCCTGGGCAGCACCGCGCTTGCCAAGTTTTGGCCTGAAGGAAGCTTCTGGGGCTGCCTGGGAGACTCATGAAATGACAAGTTTAACAAGAGCCCACAGGCCAGCTATAATCATCCCCGGTGCAGGCCGCACCTTCCAGGCAATCCGAGCGGTCTGTGCTGGAAAATGCTCCCAAGCTGTGACCAGGAGGAACAGGAGGCTCCCTGTCCAGACCTAAGCCCCTGCCCCAGCCCCGACCTGTCTCCTGAGCCCTCACTGATCTGCTGAGGGACTGACCTCCACCAGCCTGCCGGGAACACTCTCGGTCCTGCCTCCGCCGCCCTCCAACCAGGCACTTACGGCAGCGAGGGCATGTGCCAGGCAGCCCCTCTGTCTCCCCACCAACCCTCATGCCAATCTTGGCTATACAGAACCGTTTCTAGATGGGCTGCCCATAGGGGTGACAGAGAGGGGCCTGTGGCCGTCCCAGGAACCTGGGCAGTAAAAGAACCATGGGGTCCAGAGTGAAGAGCCTCTACGCCTCAGTTTCCCCTGTGTGGAACGAGAGCTTGGAGCAGGCACTCCATAAAATCCAACTCACCTCTCACCATCTGACCCCAGCCCAGCCTCCCCTGATGGGGGATGGCGTCCAGGACACACTGGGCAGCATAAGAAGGCCCAGAGTCCAGAGGAGGAAAGGCAACAAGGCATGGCTCCACACGGCACACAGCTGACGGCAGAGGACACGCAGCTGGGACACGCACCATGTTGGCCAGGCTGGTCTTGAACTCCTGACCTCAGGTGATCCTCCTGCTTCGGCCTCCCAAAGTGTTGGGATTACAGGCATGAGCCACCACCCCGGCCTGCACCTGGCTGCCACTTTAACTGGTGAGGCCCATTGTTTCCGCCTGAAGGTTCGGCACCTCCCTCAGCTCTGCAGTGCCCACGCTCCAGCCAAATCCTCAGGCTAGAGGGAAACCAGAGCTGCCACGCACCTCATCTGAGCTCTGCTGGGCCCTGAGGTTGGTCCAGTCCCATGCTCACTCACTCCATCTCCGCCTCCCGGAGGAAAGAAAGAGCTCATACTCCCCCTCCTCCTCTTCAGAGAACCCCAGGGGTGGGCGCCAGAGGAAGGGCGAGCAGCAAGTGCCCCAGTGTGCACCAGGAAGCCCAGCGCCTGGGTCCCTCCCTCGGGCACCCACCTAGCAGGTGCCTTGTGGCACGGGGCCCCAGTCACCTGGAGGCGAAAGCTGGTGGGCCCGCCGCTGGTGGCCTCCATCAGAACGCTGTCCTCCTTCCGGGTCCGGAACATGAGCCCCAGGTACCAGGGCACAGAGATGATGACGTTCAGGTCGCTCCAGGACACGACGCTCTCACCGCTGAAGAGCTGGGGGTGGGGCATGGCTGCGGACACAGGCCCGGGGACCTCAGGTGTCTCCTGAAATCACGCGGCCGCACTCTTGGCTGCATGGGTGGGGGATGGGCCTGCAGGATGGGCCTGGACCTTTTTCACTTTAACACGAAGGCTGGTCTGAGCCTCCCCTCTATGACGCATCCAGCCCTCGCAGTCAGCCACGTGGGCTCCACAGAAGCCAACCCTGGGACGTAAACCTCCCTCCTGGGAAGCATGAAGACCTACAGACTCCCAGCCGCAGATGGGCGCGGCAAGGGGCCTCAGGCTCGACAGGAGGCAGACGGGGGCGGGTTCAGGATCCCTGGGCTCAGTGGCTGGGGGTGCTAGGGTTGGGCCCTGCTGGCCCAGCCTACCTGTCCCACCCCACACCTGAGGGACTGGGGACGGGGTCTCTGCAGGGGACAGTCTCTTGGAGAGGGCAGTGAGTCCACAGTAAACGCAGCATACGCTGCCAGTGGCTGCTGGAGCCGGACGTGAAACGCCCTCACAGTGGTCCCGGGCACATCAAGGAGCAATGCTTCCCAGGCCGCCACGACCGGGGGGATGGACGATGCCAGCCACTCACCTTGCTCGCAGTTCTTCCCGCCAAATCGGAGCGGACACTCACACAGATACATGTTCCACCTGTTGACACAGGTGCCCCCGTTCTGACAGCGCCTCCCGTCGCAGAAGTTCCTCCGAGCGGCGCAGCCTGGCAACACAGAGCGTGCGGCAGGGCCTGACTCGAGGAACCACCAGGGGTCCCCGGTGCCAGACGTGGTGTGGGAAACCACGATGGAATGGACACGGGGCTGGACAGAAGCCAGACTAGGTCTGAATATCCCTGGCAATGGCAGGAATATGGGAACTGAGAAGGTGCTGAATGCACTGACCACGTTTGGAGACGCGAGGGCTCCAGGCCATCACGGCAGCTGGCCCGGTCACCTGGTGACACATGCAAGACCCTAGGATCATGTGTGCCTCAGGTTAGCTGGCTGAGCCAGCAAAGCCAAGGCAACCCCAAACTGCAGAAACTGCGGAGTTGCACATCTGGCAAGCCTGGACTCCGGGTTCCATCCCAGGAGCTTCCCACAGCTGGACCCAGACATTTCTAAGAAAAAGACGGCTCCCCAGGGATCTGCAAGCAGTGACCTCTGTGTGGCTGCCGACATGCAGCCAGATGCCACTGCGGTGGCCCCAATGCCCTGATGGCCACCCGTACCTTCCCGGGTGCCATTGTTGGCGATGAATCCAGCCATGTCCACATTTTTGCCGTCGACTGACAGGTTCCGCATGCAGCCCACAAACTGCCGGTTGTGCACTGGGAAGTCTTCTGGTAGGTTGGGGACGCCACCCAGGAGCAGAGGACCGGTCAGATCCAGGGACCTGGGGAGGTAAAGCCATCTTCTGTGACGTCCGGGCGGCGAGAGGCGGCCACAGCGGGTTGGGCTCTGCAGTTGCCTCTGTGTAGCCTCTGCCACCATAACTACTTCAGAAACCAAGCAGGCAGGAGGGCAGAGGCCAGAATCAGAGGGGGCTCCTGTGTCTGGTGCTGCGTTTGCTCACGCTTGCGTTCCGTCCTGACGATCTGGGTGTTTCACACTCACCAGTGACCACCAAGCCCCGCCCACCCAGGTTGGTCCACACCTAGACAGGATGTGAGCGCAGGGAGCACAGGTCAAGGCCAGCAGGGACTACACTTTACTTTGGCCTCTGAGACCCTCCAGGAAAAGGAAGGAACTTGAAGGGAGGCCAGGAGAAAATGAGAACCCTGGCCGGGCGAGGTGGCTCACACCTGTAATCCCAGCACTTTGGGAGGCTGAGGTGGGCAGATCACGAGGTCAAGAGATTGATACCATCCTGGCCAACAGGATGGTCTCCACTAAAAATACAAAAATTAGCTGGGCGTGGTGGCGCACGCCTGTTAGTCCCAGCTACTCGGGAGGCTGAGGCAGGAGAATCGCTTGAACCCGGGAGGTGGAGGTTGCAGTGAGCCGAGATCATGCCACTGCACTCCGGCCTGGCGACAGTGAGACTCCGTTTCAAAAAAAAGAAATGAGAACCCTGGAGGCACCCCAGAGGCGGTGCAAACTCAGGCAAGGGCTGTGACCTCTCCAGTGCATAGTTTGCTTCCCAGCAAAAGAGCACCATCCCGCCTCCATCCCAGGCGGGCGGGATCAGACAGAACAGGTAAGGGATTGCCCGCGGGCCCCCATCAGGATGCATCAGGGCTATCTATATGATCTTCAAAAAAGGATGTATCAGGCCAGGCGTGGTGGCTCACGCCTGTAATCCCAGCACTTTGGGAGGCCGAGGCGGGCGGATCACAAGGTCAGGAGATCGAGACTATCCTGGCTTAACACAGTGAAACCCCGTCTCTACTAAAAATACAAAAAACTAGCTGGGCGTAGTGGCGGGCGCCTGTAGTCCCAGCTACTCAGGAGGCTGAGGCAGGAGAATGGCGTGAACCCGGGGGGCAGAGCTTGCAGTGAG